CCACACGCTGCAGCCCCAATCCGGTTCTTTGCCTCTTCAAAAAAAAGCTGGCAAATGACACTCCTTACTGCCACGGCTTTTCTGCGCCCCTTTGGCACAGGGTGTCTACACACTATGTCAAGGGAGCACCCTGATGCTATGCGCTGTGCGGTAGGGCACGCAGTGTGATGGCAGGGTCAGGGTGGCCGGCGTGCAATCCCCCCACCCCAACTCCACCCCCAAGCCGGTCTGTACCCTTGTGGCCAGTCTGTACAGGCCCTATGGTCCTGGAGACAGGGTTCAATTCTCAGCTTGGGCATGAAACCCACTGGGTGACCGTGGGCACGCCACACACACTGAGCCTCAGGGAAAGGCAATGCCAAACCTCCTCTGAGCAAATCTTGCCACGAAAACCCCATGATAGGTCTCCATAAGTCGGAAATGACTTGAAGACACACAAAACACATACATTAGTACAAAAAAGATTCTGTACGTTCTGGTATAGGGGGTGGTCAATGGGGGGGGGTGATACCATGATTTACTGCACAGGTGACACCAATCCTAGTGATGCCGCTGATGGGAAAGGATTTGCACATGATGCTGACCCTACTTCCCTCAAGACCCTATAGATCTCCCTATAGAGTCATATCCAATGCTCAAACCCATACACCTCACTGGATCTCTCTCACACACACACAGCATAGGAGCTGTATATGTGACTATACAGATCCCCAAGGCTTTGGACTATTTTTGTAACAAGGGAGTTGTGTGTCAGTATGTGCAGACATCTTCACTTCGTCACAAATATTACAATCCTAAAATAGAGAGCAGAACAGTCAAACACTGTGGCTGTGTATCCAAATATTTGCATCTCAAAAACTTTTTTTCCTCACTTCCTAAATTTAGCAACTAGAATGTCCAGGTAAACAGAGGAAATGGTAAACTTCTACATAGTGAGCAGTCTTTGAGAAGTAGGACGTGTCTGTGTCTTGGCAAGAGTCACTGCCAATTTCAAGGGTTATGTGAAGACAATCTGGCTAGTAGTAAAATCCTTTATAGGAAAAGAGGAATTTGCAAGACGATAAAATGAAAGGAATATAGCTTTTACATTTTTGTAATATATATATTGAGAGAGAGAGAGAGCCAGCTTGCTGTAGTGGTTTGAATTTAGGACTATAACTCGAGAGATCAGAGTTTGAATCCACATTTGGTCTTGGAAACCTGCTGGGTGATCTTGAGCAAGTCACACTCTTTCAGCCCCAGAAAACCCCATGATAGCTTCATGTTAGGGTCACCATAAGTCAGAAACAACTTGAAGGCACACAATAATAAAGGTATATTTTTAAATAAAATAAAATAAAGGCGTGAATACATTGGCAGAGATTTATACTTTGCCAGTGGTCTGTTGGATCTTGCTCTCTTATCTGTCTTCTTTCCCCATCAATACTTGACCCTGGAAAAAGTGCAACAGCTAACAGTGCACTAACAGGATTCAGTATTTGCAGAGAGACTTTATGGCTGGAATCCTGTTGTTCTCTTACTTGTGTATAAGTTCCCCTATAGAAGCTGTTGGACCTTTTTGTACAATGTGGGATGCTCGCATTCATTTCCAGTTTGTGGAAATGGAGTTGCCCATGCAGTGTCCCTCCGCATGTGCATGTCCATGAGATTGTGTGTTCGCTAGCACATTTGATTGTGTATTTGGTTGCAAAATGTTGCCATTCAGAAGAATCAATGCATAACTCTTCATGTGGGCATTTTCCCTACGCAAGCCTAATGTACTTCACAGCAGCATTAAAACTAGGGATGGGTGACTGTTTATCTGCTGAATTTGTGATTGGCATGGGAATTAAATATTAGGATTTATTTATTTATTTATTTATTTATATCCCCCGTCTCCTGGTACAGGGACTCAAAGCAGCTAATAATTTCCTGACAGTAAAAGCTGTTCAACAGTGGAAGAGGTTGCCTTGAAAGGATCTAAAGCAGGGATAAGCAACCTTTCCCCTTTAAGGGCCGAGGGACTTCAGCCCCCAGAATCCCAGGAGCTATTGGCCAACATGGGACTATTAGTCAACATGGCTGAGGCTTCTGGGAGCTGAAGTCCCTCGGCCCTTAAAGGGGAAAGGTTGCCTACCCCTGGTTTAAACAGAGGTTAAAATTTTCTCCCGAGTGCTTTAGCTGCGGATTCCTGCATTGATGAAGGGTTGGTCAAGACTCAAGATGGCCATTGAGGTGTCTTCCAGCTCTATGATGCTATGAATTTTTAGTCCTTCTAGCAAAGAACTGGAAAAAAACAAGGTTCAAATCTCCTCTCAGCAATGGAAACCCATTGGATGGCCTTGGGCACGTCACACTCTCTCAGCCACAGAGGAAGGCAAGGGCAAGCCCCCTCTGAACAAACCTTGCCTTATGGCCTTAGGGTCACCATAAGTCAGAAATGGCTTGAAGGCACACAACAGGAACAGTAAAATAATAATAATAATAAATTCCCCCATCATATTTGTTAACCATAGCCAGCCTGCAACTGCAACACACATGACAAACATGTCAACATTTGGAAACCAGTGTGGTACAATGGTTAGAGTGCCAGACTGTAACCAGAAAGAATTTGAACTAAATCATGATTCATATCTGAAGTTCACCGGGTGGCTCTGGGGCCAGGCATCGTACCTCTGCCCATCCTATCTCACAGGGCTGTTGTAAGCATTCAACAGGAGAAGGAGAACCATGTTTATAGGTTTTTGTGGGTTTTTCAGGCTATGTGGCCGTGTTCTGGAAGAATTTATTCCTGATGTTTCACCTGCATCTGTGACCAGCATCTTCAGAGAACCATCATGTCTACCATCCTAAACTCCTTGGATAAAGGGCAAGGATAAAAATGTAAACTGTTTTTCCAGATTGCAAGACCAGAGCCAGGAGATGACAATAGCAAAGCTGACGGGAATAAATCATAGAAGCATAGCGTTGGAAGAGACCCCAAGGGCCATCCAGTCCAACCCCAATCTGCCATGCAAGAACTCTCAATCAAAGCATCCCTGACAGATGGCCATCCAGCCTCTGTTTAAAGACCTCCAAAGAAGTGCCTCCTAATGCTGAGCTGGAATCTCTTTTCCTGTAGCTTGCATCCATTGCTCCAGGTCCTGTTCTCTGGAGCAGCAGAAAACAAGCTCACTCCCTCCTCAATATGACGTCCCTTCAAATTCTTAAACAGGGCTATCATATCACCTCTTAACTGTCTCTTCCCCAGGCTAAACATACCCAGTTCCCTAAGTCACTCCTCATAGGGCATGGTTTGCAACCAATGTCTCTCGTGGGGGCTCTATATCACAACAAACCACACCGAAGTCCTGCTTCCAAGTAAGCATGCAAAGCACCACTGTTCATTTTACCAGCTTTACTTTGCATTTGAGCAGATCAGGGGAAGAAGGTTTTCAGGTCACAAGGAGGAGCTTGAATCCACCCCTTGGCTTTTGAAATGTCAGCAGACACACTACTGCAATCAGCTCCCTGCCAAGACTAAGAATCAAAGAGGTTCAGAGTTTCTGCAATTTATTTAAATATGTGTATGCTGCTCCCCTAAGCCAGGTTCTCTTCTCAATGCTCTCATAATGGATGGCAAAAATTTGGCTGCAAATCAGTCCTCCTTGTAATAATTATGGTACAGTGCCCTTGGTGATTGAGTCACAGCTGCTCTGAACGACAATAAATCAGCATGCAAAATTGATGGGAATTTTTTCCCCGGCCCAGAAATTAGGCTCTTTTCCCCCACCCCTTATTTCAAAATCATTTTAAATAGGAATAAGTCACTTAAAACCAGCTTCCAAGCCGATTGTCTTTTGGGAGTGAGCATGATTTCCTACCGTTGAAATTTCGGCACATTATACCTTAGAAAAACAGCCGTCAAACTCATGCTGCCATTCATTCCTGGATAGGGCAGGAACCTACCCCCCCCCTTCTCCAAAAAATCTATTATCAATGGAACAGTTAAAGAGAATAAATTGCTCTCCTGAAAGAATAAAATAACAGAGTGCAGCCTGAATCAAGGCTTTCAATGCGGTCTGAAAGGGAACCTCTTAGGACACAAACAAGAGAGGTGCTCAGCTAGTGAAATAGATAATTAAGATATAGAAGAATAGATTGGCTTCTCAAAAGAAGGAGGTATTTTGGAGTTGCAGGGTTTTTTTAAGCCAAATACACAGGTGTCATGTGCTGGATATACAGAGCGCTAGAACTGCAGCAGAGAGACCTGAGTTCCAATAATCTAGGCATAGATCGGAGCGGAAAGAAAACCAACTGCTTAGCTTTCCAATTCTTTCCAAAATTCCTCTTCAGTCACTTTATTATTGAACATTCCAATTCATCTCAACAGCATTTGAAATTGAAAGTCTGAGATTTCTTATTACTGTTTCCACAACACTCTGGCATTGCACAGGTCCATTGCACAGGTATACTGTAGATATCTTCCTAGATAGATAGATAGAGAGATCTATCTATCTATCTATCTATCTATCTATCTATCTATCCTAATTTATGTAATCTATCTATATCTATTTATCTAGAAAGAGATATATATAGAGTTGTTGTTGCATGCTTTCAAGTCATTTCTGACTCATGGCGAACCTATCCTGGGGGTTTCTTGACAAGAGTTGTACAGAGGTTTGCCATTGGCTTCCTTTAAGGCTGTTATATATATATATATATTTGATTCCAAAACCGCGGCGAAGGGTCATCCAGTCTTCATGGATGCCTGATCATCGTTCCAGTGAAGGGTCGTGTGAGTATGGTGTATGAGCGGGCGCATGAGCGAAAGAGCTCTTGATACTTAAAGTGATTGTATATGTCTTGTATATGTCTTAATAAATGTTACATGAATAGTGTCTAAAAGCCAAATTTGGTCTCTCCGTGCCTTTTTGCTTGTCACCCACTCTGAAATCCTTAAACACTTCCTAATCCTAAAAAAGAACCTTTTGTGGGCGTGCAAAGGCTGAGAAAGTGTGACTTGCCCATGGTCACTCAATGGGTTTCAATGGGAATGGAACCTTGGTCTTCAGAGTCAGAGTCCAACGCTCAAACCACTAGGCTCTGATACCCACCTCCTCATTGATTTTAGAGAAAGCTTTTGTATATTTTTGTATATCCTTTTGCCAAATGGGAACCTCCCAAGTACTGAAAGCAAAAGAGATGATCTTTATATGTTCCCAGCAGCGCTCTATATTAGAATTAAATTAAAGAAAGAAATTAAGTTTTCTTCTGCCGTATTGCTTGGCTAGTTTCCTAATCATTAAAGTGAAAAAGAAGACAAAAACCAGATCATGCGCTGCTTATACTTGAGGTAAGTTTGACTCACAGCTAGAAAATTATATCTCCTCTAAAAAAATAAAATAAAAAAATTGGGTTAAATATAGCCACGTTTTCTGCAACCGACTTGTTCTTTTTTCAAAGCTGCTTCCAATCTCCAAAACCTCTGTATTATTTAACTTCACATCAGCACTTGGAAATCATTCATTAAACATTCATTCGTGACCCCAATTCATGGTTAAATTTTTAAACGATTTCAAAAGCCATTTTAATCATGTTCAAACGGCATTTGAAACAACACTGACATCGGAGTTTGAGTAACAATTAATGTTTCATGTTACTTAATCTGTGGATTTGTGGCAATAATTGGTGGTAGGTCACTTTCAGTCATTTTAATTGGTGTGTTCCTCCCCCCAAAATAAATAAATAAATAAATAAAGCGGTGCTAACAATTAATGCAACAAATTAATTGTGCAATTTCCATTGAAAGAAATAAAGGTAACAATTTGATTTTTTAAAATATAATTTTAGTGGCCAAGATCCTACATAGTGTCTGCGAGAGTGTAAATCCATACTCAGTGGTGGTGCTACACCATCCTTCTTCTGAATATCAACTTGGCGTTTCCAAGCGTGCATCTGTTTATTGTCCCATGCTGCAAAGGGGAATATGTAGCTGCTTTTTTCACAATTCCAGTGGATCAAGGGGGAAACTGAAGGCACCAATGAATAGTTATGCGCCATCTAAGAATGTCTCCTGATTTTAAAGCAGGAAAACACCCAGGAGCATGCAACTCCAATCCCTAAAGGCTGACCATGAAAATGCCAAGCCAGTCCCAAGACGAAACCAATGTCCATACTTGCAGAAGCATGCTCCAGACAGCCTAAAGTCAAACAAAGTGAACAGTCCTGACTGAGCCAAGTCCAAAACCAAAAAATCAGTTGCCAGAGAGACAAATCCAGGCTGAAGCTGAAAGCCAACGGTTGCGTCTGCACTGCAGAAATAACGCAGTGTGACACCACTTCCACTGCCAAGACTCATTGCTATCGAATCCGAGGGTTTGCAGTCTTGTGAGATATTTAGCCTTCCCTGTCAGGGAGCTCTGGTGCCACAACAAAGTACAAATCCCAGAATTCCATAGCCTTGAGCCGTGGCAGTTAAAGTGCTGTCCAACTGCATTATTGCAGCCAGAGATACTTGAAGCTGAGGATATCAT